AAGCTTGCCAGATCTGGGACCCTGCTGTTTCTGACCAATAGACTTAGGGCCATTCTCATCCTTTTCCCATGTCTTTCCACACCACCGCATCTTCTAACTTTTCATCGTCATTATTAAAGAGATAGTTCGCCAGTTGGTTGAGAGAGAAAGAATTCTACAGAGAAGGTGAAGAAGGCTAGGAAGGAGTGGTTGAGGCACATAGGAGCTGCTTCTAGGACCAGACAACCAAGATCCCCAGTGTCCGTGCACATGTAGGGTCTGATGGGGCATCTTCTCTGCCTTTGTACCCTCACTGTGCAGTCCAACAATCCATAGCAAAGCCGCATCACTGGCTGTTAGCAACAATAGAGACAGGCAGAGGAAAACCAAGATGTTTTCCTACCAAGTGACTGATGGACAGTGCATGTAATAGAGACCTTTGGAAAATAACACCATCAGCTCCAAAGTACAGTCGCCACAGGTCAGGGGGCAGGGTCTCTTGCCTTATGGAGGAGTCCCAGAGGGAGCTGACAGTGGTGGGCGGACAAAGCCTTAGATGAGTAGAAGGGAGTGAGGCACGGATGCTAACGTCTGCATTGTCATTGATTTCCATGGGATAGTGAAAAGGGAACCCTTTGGATCCCAAGACTATCACAACTATGGTGACAAGGATGCACCATCCCCACCCTCCCCAAAGGAAACCATTTTTCTGTCCTATGGCTCAGCATCTAGAAGATAGACCCATGTGTTCTAGGCTTACTTAGCCCCTTAATGACATGAGGAAAAATAAGTTTGAATGGATTGAGAAGCTGTAAAGCTGCTGTAGATCTTTGAAAGAGCAGTTGCCAAGGAACACGCACATCAAAGGCTGCTGGAGTGTATGGGGGACATCTTGTGACACATCCTGATGGTGGCAGGGCCACCTGCTTTCTGTCTACAACGCTGCCCCGTCGGTTTGGGCAGGCTAGGATTTCCCATTCTTTTCTATTTGGGATGAAGTCGATAATTATGCTCTCCTGCAGGTGGCGCCACAATGTAGGTTTTCAAGCAGCCTTTGGCCAGAGGTTTTTATCCTGAGCATAGTGCAGGACCCAGCTATGGGACAGCTCTTGGGAGAAAGATGTCTCTGTAGCACCACCAGACTCTGGGAAATTGTTTAATAAACAAACCTGGCTTTGTCTCTGTTTCTAAACTAATAAAATGGTCATAATTAAGTGAGAGGAATTTAGGAGTCTACTCTCTCCTCTTAAACCTGGCCCTTTTATTCAGCCACGAGAGATGAGCCATCAAAATCTCACAAAAATAGCTTCTTTAGAAAAATAGGGCTCTATGAAGCAATATGTCATTTAACTCCTCCCTCTTGTGGCCATGGGGCCAGGCGCTGACCTACCCAGCTCTGCCACCAGGCCAGGGATGCAGTGAGCGAGTCACAGACCCATCAAAAGCAGGGACCGGCTAGACTACCCAGAGTATGTCTGTCTTCACCCCTCATCAGCTGGTGGGGGTAGCAGAGCTAGACAGAGCTAGCAGAAGAGCTAGAGGGCTTGTCGCGAGTGCAGGGCCATGGCGTGGACCATTGCATGACGCTGGCTTTGCCCGTCTGTTGATTCACGGGGAAGAGTCAGGACAGCAAAGCGCCTGCCCCCTGCATTGTACCACCGGAGAAAAGAATACTTTCCTATGACAGGGAGGACACGCTCCTTCCACGTGCATTGCGTTAGAATTCCAAATCACGCTCACAGGGGTTGTATTTCGTTTGAATGCCACTGCAACCAGAACGCAAAAATGTGGCCGGGGAGGGAGGGAGCGTCACTGAGGGCACATGACCTGTGCAAAATGATAGTGATGGTAAGTACCAGAGTCAAGGAGCAGGTCAGTCTGCCTTCTCAACCCCCACCTCACTCTGGACTTGAGGGGACATTCAATAGGCCCGCAGGTCTCTTGCTGTGGCTATTTTGACCCTTTCTGCCATTCCTTACAATGGTATGAAGCCTGCCTTCCTCCTGTGGTATTCAGTGGGAGCCAGGGAAGCAAAAGGCAGTGTGCAGGAAGGTCCCATTAAGAACAGGAGGGCTGGCAGGGGCTGCACCTGCCCTTTGTGGCTCCAGCGTTCTGCACGCTCTTTCCCTGTCGCTGAGTTCCGTCATTACTCTTCAGGCACCATGCGGTATTCATTCCTCTGAATGAAAATAAATGACACCCCACACCAGGCAGGAGATAAAGGATAATAAACACACTTTGTTTGCTGCCTCTGGAAAAAAAAATCTTTGACTTCCTGTCCATCCATCAGGACATTGGGACTGGAATTTGCACACACACACACACACACACACACACACACACACACACACACTACAAGGAACAGAAAAGACAACCAGGCAGTATTAAAAACACTTGCTGGAATGATTGATGATTGACTGAGAAGGGGGTTAGTCCTCACTTCCTCTCTCTTCAGCGTTTTTACAGAAGTCCCCTGTAGCTGAGTGACAGTTGTGTTTGAAAAGATCTTGTGTATACCTTTAGTGAAGCATATTATTTAAGTAGCCTGGAAAGGTTTTCTGTAGGACTTCCTAAGCTGCTACTTCTAGGGTGAGCCAGTTGGGGTGGTGTCATGTGCCAATTTTAGAGGTTTGAGTCCAGGTGAGACAAGCCTTATGCAGACCCGCGGGGACAACTTCCTCTGATTTTGCATGCCAGGTGTCTCTGCTGTCTCATGTTAGACAGACATTTGGCCCCGGGGCTTGCTCGGTTCTGGAAGGATGTCAAAGCAACAGCAGCAACACGGAATTATTGTTATGTGTTTCTCTGGGCTTCGGAAACTAACTTGATATTGTGTGCTTTATCTCGAGTCGGGGATCCAGAGTTTCTGAGAAGAGAGGAGCCAGATCAATGCATTAAGGGGAGCTAATAAGATAACCCTTGCTGTTTTCTGGGCCTTGCCATGCTCAGCGGACAACCAGAGCCTAACCGGGCTCCATGCTGTCTCCTGGAACACCCTTTAACTGTAACAACGTCTGTCTCTCTCCTGCACACATTTAATTCATTGCCTCCTTCTGGGGAGAGCAATTTCAACCAGGTCCTGTGTGGGGAAGCCCAGGCCTACCCACAATATGTTGCCTGCCCCCAGGCCTTGTATAACGTGCCAGCTCACAGCTCATTTCAAAGTCCACCCAGTTTATAACTTTGATTTCTGTGAAAATATAACCCTTATAGGAAGGTGGAGGCATTCATACTGCTGTCGGTCATCTCCTAATAAGTAGCTTCTGAGAGGTTTGGATGAGAGGGGCAGATATTTGCTGGGAGTTGCTGGGGTTGAGGGAAGCTAAGACGAAGAAATGGCATGGGTAAGTGGCTTGGGAGTCCCAAACCATAGTCTTGAGACTATGAGTGGCTTGACACTTCTTTCATCACTGGCTACTCTCAATGGACATGGCTGCCAATGCCATTTTCCCGGAACTAAGGCAGAAGTAGGCTTACAGAGCTGGGCAGACACACAGGTCGGCATTCTGGTTTGTTTGGTTTTTTTGGTTGGGCATCTTGGTGGGGAGTGGTCTATGCAGAGATATTCTAGATAGTGCTATCTGCTTCCTTTCCCCACCGATTTCTTGCCTCCCAGATGTTGTCTCAACTTAAGCAACCTTGGGGTTTCTTTCTTCGGGCATCCAAAACTACTCTGACGTTAGCATTGTCTGATATATGTTTGGGCTATGGTCCAGGACCTAGGGCTTCAGAAACAGAGAAGCAAGGTCAGCCTCTGGACATATCAGGTTCCCCAGGAAGCTTTGGGGCTTCATTTCTTTTTTAGGACTAGAAGACTTGGGCTTGGGAATTCTCTAGTGGTCTGTAGGGTTACCTTGGTTGGGGGGGGGGGGGGGGGGAATAGGGCTGGACCAGAATTATCGTTTAGGGATGGGTGTATGTTTTGGCAGGTGTCTGTTAGGAATACCCGAAAGTGCCTCTGACAGCCTGAACCCACATGCCTGAGCGGGAGGGTGCCTCAATCCAAGCGTACTTGGTGTCACCATATATGCGCCACTCTGCCCTATGTCGCCACCATCAGGGTGGCTCGAAAGACCCAGGGGGTGTCTGCAAAGTCCACTCTGGGGAGAGCGGGCGAGCCTGCGGCGGCGTCAACGTGCAGGAAAGCGCCCCCTGCCCCCTCTGCCGGCCGTTCTACTTCGGTCTAGATGTCAGCCGCGAGCTCCGAGCCAGCGAGCGAGCCAGAGAGGGAGCGGCGGCGGCGGCGGCGGCGGCGGCGGCGGGCCGCGGGCGGCGGGGAGGGGGAGGAGGCGAGGAGAGGGAGGGAGGAAGGGAAGCAGGGAGGGCGGGAGGGAGGAGAGGAGGACCCAGAGAGCGCCAGGCAGCTGGAGTTTTTGCAGCGCTTGGCCGGGCTTCAATGCACAGCAGCAGCGAGCCGCGGCAGCAGGCAGCCCGGGAGCTCCGGCGGCGGCCGAGCCAGCGGCGGCCCCGCTCCCTGCCCCCTGCAAACTTTGCGAGCAGCCCGCCCGGGGGGCCGGGGGCGCGCCCGGGAGGCTCGGCTTGGACCACGGCCGCACTCTTGGCCGCCGCAGCGCCAGCCGCCGCTGTCGCTGCTATCACCGCAGCTCCGCGCCTCCCCGGGGAGCAGCCGGCGGCTCCCGCGGCCCCCAACCCCGGCCCCTGGGCATTGCCCGGCTAGTCCCCGGGCAGGGGTGGGGGTAACAGCAGCGCAGCTAGCCCTGGGCTGCTAGGGGTTGGCCGCCACTACCCAGGGTGGCGCGCAGAGGCTCAGAGAGCGCTCCCCGGCGGGTCCCCAACGCACTCACCGCCGCGCCAGGGCAGCGGCCCGACCCGGCTAGCATGGGCGGCGCGGAGTGACGCCGCCGTGCCCGCTTGGCATCAAGGACATTCAGCCCGCGGGGGTGGGGACGAAGGGGGGCAGCCCCGCGTCGCCGCCGCAGCCCCTGAGAGCACTGTCGCTGCTTGGGCTCCGGGGCTGGGTGGAGGAAAGGGGTGCTTGGAATCGATCCACATTTTCTGACCTTTTTGTTGGACATTACGCCCACCTTGGACGTTGCAAGAGGAGCTGTCAAGCCCGGCAAGCTCTGATTTGGCCCCCTCCGTTTTCCTCTGCTGCTCGTGGCTTCCCCGTGCCTCGGTGGAGTATTTGCGTTCGGGGCTGGGGCTGAAGGAGGCAGCCACACGCGCGCACACGCACACGTTCAGAGGAGGGCGAGAGGCAGCGGTACAGGCACCATCTGCAGTGTCAATGCGGCGCTGGGGCTGAAGGAGGGAAACGCCGCTCTTCCAGGTAAGGAGCCACCGGCCGGGCGCAGGGCCAGCGGGGCAAAGCGGGCGGAGGTGCCGGGTCCGGTCCCAGAGTCCTCGCCTGCTCCGAGACAGCCTGACACACACACACACACACACACACACACACACACACACACACACAAATCACACGCGCGCGCACACATGCATACACGCATACACTGAGCTCACGCACCTGCCCACGTCCCACCTGGACACCCGCGTAGGTGCAGCGCAGCCCGGAGCAGGGATTTCCCGTGTTCTTCTCTTCACCGGACCTAGACTTCTCTTGCCCAGGACTTTCAGGGTGGAATTCGATAAATGACTGACTCTCCTATCTAGCCTGGTAGGATGAGGGAGCGATTTTGCTGTTTCTAGCTCCTTTCAATTCCTAACTGGTTTTTACAAAACAGGAGAAGTCATGGGAGGTCTTAGGAGACCCGCCCAGTGCAATTGCGTCCTTGGCTTTTGAACACTCTATTTTTTCTTTCCTTTTATTAAATAGGATAAAGACAGAGAGATATATACAGATAGATATATAAAGGACAGAGATTAGGAGATTGTGGTCATCGGGCGCCTGGGAGGAGGCCACATAAGCTACCGGGGCTGCAGTTCTGTAGGGCGGCGCATGTGGAACAGACTCTGCGTTTTGCTAGTAAAGGCAGCACACACGCCTTTCCGAAGCGTGGCACTGCTTCCCCGGAATGTGCCGGGATTTCAGGCGGGGAGGGGCTTTAACATCAAAGCTAGAGGAGGGATCCTCGTCTAGGGAGGGTGCTGCGGTCCTTTAAGGAGGATCAACCCTTATTCACGTTGCCAGTTGCTGGTAGACAGCAAGCAGACAGGGCTTGGGGATACAGCTTTGTGGCCAACCTCTCACTCCCTTATCCTTCTCTGTGCAAATGAGGCAGTTTCCCAGGGTGTCTTTAGCTAACACCTGTCACATGTCTTGGGGTATGCGTCTGAGAACGCAACCTAGGAGGAGAGTAGAGATGGATGTAGACTCTACATCCAGGCAGAAAGGACCGTGAACATATTGGCATACCTGCCCTTTAAGGTATTGGGTCTACTGTGTCTCCCAGAGTCCAGATCCTCTGCGTGCAGAACTGTTTTCCAGAAGTCAATGGTTCAAGTTTACTTCCCCAGAGCTCCACCCCCTCAAACCCTAGTTTCAGAGCCTGCTCATTCTGAAACTTTTCCTAGAATGGATGGGGAGGGGGTTAGGGTTCCAAAGGGCTTTTTCATGGCTCCCCTATTAAAGTCTAAGAGAGACTTCTTTGGGGCCTCAGTTATTGCCTGGAGAAGAATAGAAGGTTCAAATACATCATGATTTCAGGCTCGAATACACATATAGAAAGTTTCTATCCTTCTATAGGTGTCCCTTTGTGGTGTTTTTGGGGCACCCTGATAAAAATGGGATATACTTCTTTCTTCTTCATAAGATCATGTGTTCAGAGAGTCTCATAAACCTACCAAAGGGAGAAATATGTTGGGAATCTTCCAGAAGGTGAGGGACAAGGACTCTTGAACAAGGGGGACTTAAGTGCAGGTGCAGGGTTTCCACTGTCTTAGAAACCCTGATGATGGGGTGCAGCCACAGAGGGCTTTCTTTGTACCCTCAGCTCTCCTGTTTTTCAAACTTTTTTTTTTTCTGACCCCACCAAGGTCTCTGGTTAGGCTTGGGGAGGGGGTGGGGAGCAGATGCCCTAGGAGGGAAGCCTTATGCCTTGCTATGTGTTGTGTGAGCTGTCCTTTGATTGATTGAAAAAGGTAGCAGGGATAAAGGAAAGCGTCTCACAATGAGAACCTGGATCAGTGAGAAACATTCTTCTTTTTAAGAATGGTGGGTGTGCACACATCCAGCTGCACACATGCGCCTTGCCAAATGCAGTCTTGTCCAAGCACGGGTGCCAGGGGCATCCACTTCTGACTTCTGGGTTGTGGAAAAACATTGGTACGTTACAGCGTGCACACACTTGGAGAGTGTGGATGGGGAGGGCCCATCTATGCATGCGCATGGCTGTGGCACATGGTTTGGAACAAGCAGCAAACTAGTCACAATGAGTATGTCCCAGAGAGGCATTCCTTCGTGGGAACTGTGAGGGCAGGAAGCTGGGGTGCAGATCTCTCCTGCCCCAACAGACGTCTCTGTTCCCCTCTTCCCTTTCTCAAATATTTGCAGCCTCAGGATCTGTTATTTTAAAGACAAGGCAACTACCATTATGCTGGCTATAAGCTAAGTACTGGAGCTCAAAAGAATCCCCACACTTTATGCACTTACCATTGGTTTCTAGGAAATGATAGACAGTAATTAACACTGTGTGTGTGTGTGTGTGTGTGTGTGTGTGTGCATGTTTCATTTCCTGGCTCTTTTGCCCAGCCCTGGAGTATACCACAATATCCTTGCTCTACTATTCTTCTGCGGGCTTTAAGTTCTCTGGTCCACACTGGAAGACACTCAGTTGCATGCACCAGGAGAGGCCCGGACACAAATGACTCTCTTTGGTCATCCTTATTGAGGCTGGAAGTTGTTCTGGAAGCATCCTGTGAACAGCAGGCATAGTTCACCCATGATCTGCTCTGCGCTCACTAAATCCTGCTTACACACACACACACACACACACACACACACACACACACACCACCCTGAAAATGTTTCAGGGAGGAATTTCTCTCCTAGGCAGCCAATTTGCTCTGGTCGCCTTCCCTGTCTCTCTTCTCCTGCCTGCAGACAGGGAAATCCACATGGCAGAATCTGCCTCCACTTGGCCTACAGATCCTTTTAATCATGAGGAGGGCTGCTGGGAATTAAATGGGGGCTTTCTAGGGTGGCAACATTCCTACCTAGGACAGAGAGCTCAGGGGGATGGGTTAGTAACTGTTGAGAGCTCCTAGGTATTGCCAGGCTTTGATGGGAAGAAATTATAGCAAGCGTCTCTCCTCCCAGCCAGCTAGGGGGCATTTCTCAGCAGCTCCAGCCCAGTCTCACCAGAGACGGCACTGCACAGACAATGCACACTGGAGACCTGTTGGAGTGGCTATCCGACTGGCTGTGATGGGGCGGCGGCAATACTGGGAGCCTACCATGATGTGATTCTGACTTTGATTACTCTGCAAAGGATGCATCGCTCTCACCTCGCCTTTTATTTGTGTACCGTGCTCCCTGATGGGAAACTGGCTCAGGCCCGCAGCAGTTGTGCAGGGTTCATTTCTTTCACGCGACACCCCCTTTCCTCCTCCTTCAAAGTCCTGTCCCTCCCTCCCCTGCGCTTGCGACCGCCGCCTCCCAGCTTTGTGCTTGTATCCACCAGCCCATTCACCCTCAAATTTGCTGCACTCCACGAAATCAATATAACATGAATTTAACGACAGCTGGATGATTAAGTGTTATTTATATTTAAAAGCGGCATTTAAAAAAGACATCGTGCTAATAAATCAAAGGGCTGTTTGGGAGATGCACATGATTAGGGTAATTGCCCTGGAGGCTCTATTGAGTAAGGCTTGGTCCACACAGAGCCCTGCAGACGCTGTCTCTTTAAAAGCTAGTCCTTACTGTTCCCTCCCCTAACACCCACCTGATCCTCTCTCCTGTCCTGCCTTACTCTGGGTCCCCCTCCTGTCCTTGCTTCCCAGGCAGCAGGCAGATATTCTAGTTATGACAGGAAGGTGGAGCCAGCAAGGAGACAGGAGCAGGCTAAGCCTCTAAGTGGAAGGAGGCGGATCTTAAAAGGGAAGGCAGGCAGGGGTCCCGATTCCCGGCTGGAGGCCTTGTTCCAGAAGAAGGAGGCTGCTTCTCCACTTGCTGAGAAGCAGAATAGCTTCTAGAAGTCCTGAGTGAGGAACCCTGTCCTTTGATCTCATGGGATCAGCCTCCCCAGGGAAGCAGCTGTGAGGACATTAGTGTTGGCCCTTATGAAAACCCTGGGATGGAAAATAAGTACTAATTAATGATGATCGTAGTGGCCGGTGCTTATGAAGCATTTCCTTTTGATCTGCCTTCATCTGAATACTCTAGATGGAGTTGCTCCCTTTAGTGTCCGTTAGCATCCAGAGGCAATGCCTACCGCTGTCCCTATATTCTCCCAAAGGAACTGAGATGAGGGAGGTTGAGGACTTTGTCCAAAGTCACATAGCCACCAAGTGGTGGAACCAAGTCTCAGTGCTGAGCAGTCTGACCTGGCTTCTTACTGCTTGCCAAGTGAGTGGGAGAGTGTGATGGGGGTCCTGATGGCTCCTTTGGATTATCTCCGACCCCAAGCAAAATGTTCTATTTGTTGAGCCTCAAATTTCCCTGTTAATTAAGGGGATTTTCCTTGGCTGAAGGTGGATTGCAAAGTTGCACGGATTTTCCTAGTAGACCGATCAGCTCTGAGGTTGACGGTTACTTGATTTGGAAATCTCTGTTTTTTTCTCTGAGAAAAACACAGAAGACATGGCCGAGGGACTGAATGGAGTCTCCATCTTTGCTCTGGATTTCGGGAAGCTCTAGGGGTCTGGTTCTTTGTAGTGAGTATTTAAAATTGTTGGTCTTGTGCAAAGCATACTCTCCCATGGAATGCTCAGAGAAGCCTCTAAGGTGGGGTATTGAGGCTTACCATTTTGATGGCATGAGAACTTAGGCTGAGATGACAGTTAAAGATGCCCCAGACCCAGGTTGCTAAGCAACAGATGGCCAGTTCACTGTCGGGCAAAAATTCGTGCTATGGCACCGCTCACAGGTGGTGCTCTGTAGCTGTTCTTTCATTCATTCACTAGCTCTTGGGGTTTAAATTTTAGGATCCAGAGGCAGGGACAAGGTCATGTCATACGCTGTGAAAGTTTCTGCCCAGGGAGGGTAATCCTGCAGCTGTAATGGAATTTGGAATTCAGAATAGAAGAAGAAAAGAAGGTGGAGTGGGTACAGGCTAGGAATCCCATTGTGACATGAAAAGATACACAAGTAGGGTCCCAAGAAGCTAGGCATTATGCTGGGTGTTGTCCCACCCAAGGCCAGGGCTCCCCAGA